TCATCGCAAAAACACCAGCCCATGACCATCACCAATTTGCCCATCAGATCCCCATTTACTTCAAGTGCCTCGCGCCATGCCAAACGCGTCCAAGCTGCCAGCCCCATCACATTTGGGCCTCATCGACAGCGCTAGCATCGATAGTACGCTTGACAGGGACATGGCGTATCGCACCCGACAGAAGCATCACAGACCCCCTAGGGCCCCCCTCTCCCCCCCTCCCGCCTACATGTACATCCTCCAGCCATGTCCCCAACCACAGCTCGCGCACTCCGTCGCTATTTGGACCACCAGGCACAAGCAGCAAGGAGAAAAGGCACAGGCGAGACATCCCACCCGTGGATCACAAGCTCTCTCTGGCCCACTCCCACCGCCCCACCCGCATACGGCCAACTGCTCCACGACCAAGCTTGCAGGCTCGCAGAGTTCCAAGCCTCCAGCCAACCTCGCACACCGCTCTACCAATCGACGCCCTGCTTTCCTTCTCCCTTGATCGTGGCTTCTTTGTTCGGTACCTGAGTGGACTGCCTCGTGTTGCCTGCATCGTGCTGACGGCACGGAAACGCAGGAGTAAACCTGTGCCTTGCGGATGAGCCCACCATCCATCCATCCATCCAGCCCACAATTGAGGACGCCAGACAACAAGCAAGGAGCGGACTCAAACTCTGTCAGATTCCTCGATTGCCTGGCCTTTTGGAAGGTAGAAGAGCCTAGTCAGAAACTCGGCCAAGTTGGCCCATCGCCCAACCTACCTATACATACAGGCAGCGCAGGCCATGAACCTAGTCGTGTCGTATCGCGGCATATCGTGTCAAAATGCATCACTTGACTGAGACATATCGAAGGAGAGCAGAATCAACAGCTATCCCAACAACAACAACAACGAGAGGTTGAAAGGGCCAAATGGCCACAGCCTCAGTCGGACTCATCCTGTCTCGCACCCCGTCTCGTCATGCATTGCGACTTGCCGTCCGTTTTCAGTGTCTGGCAGCAAGTCGCCAGTGGTTATACGTAGCGATTGCTACCGTCGCTCTGCATTGTCGGTCGATTCCGGCGTCGATTCTGGCCTAATAAGGCGGCTGCCCATCGCGACTCTCCAGCCTCAGCGCTCTCCGCAAACTGTCTCCAAGCGACAGATCGCCGTCAGGGCTTCCTAAGCCAGAACATACAAGTCTAGGCACATCCAGGCCCAACAGAGGCACAGCTCTGCGGGTTGTTGGCGCTTGTCGCATTCGGTCGTAGGTGTACTCTGGTAGCGCTCTCGTTTGGCACCTCATCGTTCAACCATCGTCATCGCCCATGGCCCATGATCGTTTGCCCCCCCCTCCGCCCATTTTCGACATGGTCTGCGACGTGCGCCGCCTGCCCTGCGACAACCCTGAACCCTTCCCCCAGCCCCTATAATAGCCATCTGCCTCGCTAGCCGCCAGTGTGTACTTGTATCCCAACCTGACCATGATCCACCTGGGACCTGACCTCTTATCTCCGAATTCCCCCAACGCGATCGACGCTCACAGTCCACCAGTTTGCTGGCAGGTCAGGGCCAGCAGCAGAAGAATCCCATCTTGCTGCGGCTACTCACAGTGAAGCGTCGCATCGCCTTTGCAGGATCCCTTTTTACTGAGGCCTCTACGCTCTACCCTTTCTAGGGCCTCTAAGGACTCTGGGGCGTAGCTTCGTCGGCCTAGATCGATGCTTTGCGCCCGCCAGTGACGACGTCGCGCTGCTGGTGTCGAGAGCAAGAAATCTAGCAGCTAGTGGTTCCTACTTGTTAGGTCTGACCGTTCCGTGGGTCAAGCACCTGGTCTTGGCTTGTTTGTTCCTGACTCAACTTGGTGACTTGCATCGCCCGCTGCGCGCGCCGCCCGCATCTCTCGAGGTGGCTGGCCTACTCTGATCTGGTCTCCATGGTACATTTCTCCGCCCTGGTTGGTGCCTCGTTGCGTCCCTGTCCCAGCTCCCAGCCCAGCGAAGGGCCGGCTCAGCTCCGCCTACCTAGCGGGCAAGACGACAGAGGCTTGACGCTAGTTGGGCGAGGGGGGGGTGGACGCACACACGCTCGCAGTCTGGTATGAGGGTATGAGGGTTGGAGGAGCCAGTGCGAGGGGCCAGCGACGGCGCCAGGCAAAGCCAGGGAAAAGCAGGGGAGGGGGGTAACATGGTTAAGTCAGTAAACGAGCGAGGACGCCGGCGCCCTGGCTGACCTGGACTACGACTGGCCCGGCAGCCGTGGTGCGTGGCTAGCCTGCAGCCCTTGCGGCCCTCGAACGCAGCCCGCGGTCCTCGAACGCAGCCCCAACAGGGCAAGGTCAGATCCCCATCCCAGGCCTTCCCGGTCTCTTTCATCATCGACCATTCATTGCCACCCACTCGCTCAATTCCCCCTGGCTTTGCATTTCTAGAGCCCCTCGCCCTCCTCGTCCTCACTGGATGCTCTCCTGACGCTCTTCTCCCGCCTCGCTTCTTCTTTCGATTCTGCCGCGCTGCTCATCCTGCAAATCCCACCGATGCTCCATCCTCTCTACTACTACTACTGCACACCATCATCACCGCACCAGGCACCGAGCACTGGCACCCTGGAAAACCCCCCCTCCCCCCACTTGTCGACCAGCATTAGGGAGGATCTAGACCGGGATTAACGACCACCCGCCGACTGTCTAAACTGCCCCCACTCACAACCATCCTACCGGGTTGGGGGGAAGGTAGCGAAAAGGGCTAAACTATTATCAGTCGTCTACCGCTGCGAGCGGAGGAGAACAGGACTAGGTGCTGTTTTGTTCTATCCGTGAAGAAAAGTAGTCATTAGGAGACAGCCAGCCTCGGATGCTGAGAGGCTCAATGCTTTTAGAAACACGCCAGCCATGAAGCAGCGAGCTGTAGCGGGCGAGATGCG